GCGTGTGCCGCGGCCTGGGGGCCTCTAGCCCGACCGGGCCGTGGTGGTGCTCTGAGGGCGAGCCCCCCAGGCCGTGGAATGGCGAAGGGCGTGCGCGCGTCGAGCCAGTCCTGCAAGTCTCGGGAGGGGAAAAACACACACAGACACAAGTAATCGCCGATTCCCAGGAAAATATAGGGAAATATGGGGGGGAAGACAAAAACCCAGAAAGTATGGAAGAATATGGGGGACATTTTTATTTGTGTGTATTTGTTTGTGTGTCCTGGGGCCCCTTCAAAGTCGCGCTGCTCGTCGTGCGGGCTCGGCGCTGGCAGCCTTCCGCGTGCCCAGCGGCGCGCCGTGCCCGCGTTCCCCATGCGGCGGCGCGCGTCCGCTGCCGAGGGCGGGGCCCGCGGTCCGCCGCCGCCTCCTCCGGCTGCGCGTCCAAGCGTGATTCCGCCGTCCTCCTCCCTGCCCTCCACGTAGGTGCCGTCGACCAGCCGGGTGGGGAGAAGGGGGAGGCCTTCTTAGAAGCACCCCTGCTGCTCAGAAGGCGGGGGCTTCATCTATGGGTGTGAGGCCAGCGCCTTCCAAGAAACAGCCCCCTTCTAAGAAGCCTTCTCCCCTCCCTCCACCCCCCCGTGCGGTCCGCCAAAGAGAGTGGGCTATCATGCCGCTGCAAATCCCGAGTGACCGCCTGCTGCTCCTCCGCTTTCTGGGTGCTCAGGGGGGCGGCCGCGTCGGTCCCCGAGCCATTTGCGGCCCTCCAGGTACTCGTCCCCCGTGCGTTGCACTTCGCCTTCCCGCCGTGGTCCTGGCCGCACAGCGCCCTCGAGGTGCGGGGGATCTCTGCTCGACCCGCGGCGCCCCGCTTCCACGCTGCTTTGCAGACCTCGTTCGCCGCGCTGTGTCTGAGGTGGAAGTTGGACGCGGTCCCCGTCGCCGCAAGGGTGGGGTGTCCCAAGAGGCGGAACACGTGGGGCGCGCGCATGTCGAGCCAGTCCTGGTGGCCCTCTTCCGCCAGCGGGTTGGGCGGGTTGCAGATCCAGTTCCTCGCCCAGCGCCCCAGTGTTCTCTTGAGGCGCGCGATCGCGCGCCTCTCCATGCGGTCGCTCTCCTTGTGCGTGTGGCCCTCGTCGTAGTCGACGTTCTCGACGGGCCCGTAGCAGGGCCGCATCTGCTCGACGAAGCCGCTGACCGCCGCGAGGTGCTTCCCCCCCGGGCTCGCCGCTGGGCCCTTGGTGGGCCTGGGCCTCGCTGCCGAGAGCCGTGCGAATTCGGTGCTTTGCCCCTCCCGCGGAAGCGCTGCTCCTCGTCGGGCGGTATCTGGTACAGTGGGGGCGCGCATCAAGAAGCCATATGCTTGTCGTCAGGGTACCCTGGGTTTCTTCGCTCCTCGCGCTGCGCGGTGACTTCCCGCAGCCGTTGAAGGAGCTGCTGCGTTCAGGGTGCTCCAGGTTTCCCCTCAGGTGCACCTCGCGCACGGGTTCTCAGGGTTGGGTTTCTTGTGAGAGTTTCTTGCGACCGCGCCCGCACTGTCGATCCGTAGCAGCTCGCTCTCCATCGGGCTGCAGATCTGGACGGAGCTTTGTTCCAGCCCGACCTCGTCCGTCGTGTTGCGGATGCTGTTGGCCAGGCCGGTGTAGTCCCAGGGCGCCTCGAGCAGTGGCCCAAGTGGGGGCTCCTCAGGGTATGGGGCATGGCCTTTGAGTCGCAATGACTCAGGCTCGGCTCCGCCGCC